ACTCCTTCCCACCTGGCAGCCTCAGCTCAAAGAGCACTTCCCAGAAATGCCTTTTCTGCTTTTAGCAATTTCAAATGTCTACCTGCTCTATATTTTCATCACATTTTGTGCTTTCATCCAACTAACGTCCTAGTTTCTAAAAAGGATAAGTTTGTGTGACTAATGGATTCAAATGGACCCCTGGACCTTGAACTCCCTATGTTTAAAGATCTTGACTGTATTTTCTGTTTTGTGACCAGCACCTGACAGACTCCTGTGCATGCCCAATAACACTCAGGTGAAAATGACTCAGGAGAGTTGGTTTGTTGCTGTTGTCTCTGGTTTTATGTTGTTACTGTTTTTGTGTTTATGGAAAGTAAGGGAGTGGTTTTTTTGGTGTACTTAAGTGCTCTAGGCTCTGAATATGTGTATCTGTACTGTGATGGATGAGTGTGAAAGGAATATGGGGACTATCATGACTCTGGGGCTAGAGGCAGGCTTTGGGAAACCTTAGCTACTAAAAAGACTGTAACAGCCAAGCAGAGTTACTGCTGGTGAGAAACCTTCCATTCCATTCTAGAAAGTATGTCAAGATTGTGGAGACTTTGGGCATTTTAAAATTAAACTTGTTTTTAACTGATGTATAGAATTATAGAAAGTTATGCTGACAAGATGACTCAGCAGGTCAAGACTTTTTACCACCATGCCCGATGACCTAAGTTCCATCCCGGGACCCAAGTGGCAGGAGGTCAGATGTGACCCTTGCAAGCTGTCCTTGGACTTCTGCACACGATCTGAAGCATATGCATGCCCATCTGTGCACAAAATAAATGTAAAAAATACACGGACACTCATGCATGTTAGAGCTGGCAAATGTTTTGATATATGTGAATCTTTCATGGTAGTTGAATTAAGTTAAAACTTAACTGTCTCATTGTACATTTCTCATTTGTCTTTGATGAAAACATCCAGAGTAGCAAAATTTTAAAATATGCTATAATAGTTATCTGTGGTCACTCTGCTGTGCAGTAGCATGGTAGAGAGTTTGTGTGAGTATGTGTGGTATATGCTTGCCTACACAGATATGTATGTGGCTGTGCTCACCCGTGTATGCACACGTGGGGGCCAGAGGTCAACGTTCCGTGTATTTCTCTAGCTTTTCCGCTGTATTTTTTTTGAAACAGGGTTTTTCACTGAAGCCAGTGTTCATGAGTTTGGCTAGACTCTCTAAACAGCAAGCCCCTAGGACTGACCTCTCTCTGTTTCTGCTCATTGTACCCTACTCTTAGACTGGGCATCGCCGTGGCAAAGCATGGTGTGAGGGCTCAGAATTCAAACTCAGGTGTCCGGGTCAGCTCCCAGACCTCCATGCCAGGACTTCTCTGAGTAGCTAAGATCCAGTGTTCAATGCCTCTCTTCTGCCCCCTTTCCAGACTCTCCAGCTGCTGTGAGATCTTCCACAGCTGTCTCCAGGGTCATTCTCTTCTGAGGAGATGCACTGTCTCAATTGCTGTGTACTTTCTCTTTCCTCACTAGGAGTAACACACAACATGAGCAGTAAAGAGAGAATCCCCACATTTCATAAGCCATACTCAGGAATGAACTTCTTAGATTTAAAATGCTTGTCATTGACTTCACATATATGTATCTTTGGTTCTTTGTGGTGACTTCTACCATCCTTCCTTTGTTATCACTTTACAATGTTTTAATTTAAATATACTATATATTATTACAAAATACCTCAATGAACCATTCAGTAAAACATCATCTATTTTATTAACTACATTTGATTTGATTACTTTGGAGTTGGACATTAATTGCCAATAAGTAAGCCCAGCAGCTTCAAATTCCTTTCCGGTTTTGGAGAATTGTCTAGTAGTTTTAGATCAAATTAGCTGAAGAAGCTTGTTTTTCCTACTTGCTAATAAAAATAACAGTTATTTTCACATTTTAATGGTCCAGTAGTTTTCCTGCCCTGCTAGGTAAAGCCTGAAATCTCCTTCAGAGTTTGGGACACTAGTCTGGCTGAGACTGGACACATGGCCTGTGCTTTTCCCCCACTTCTCTGCCCCATCAGTTCCTGCCTCACCATATTCTTTCTAGGATACTTTGAATTAATGATTCACTCCAAAAGGAATACTCAGAGATATTTTTAAAACAGAGATTTCATTTCTTTAACTGGGGTAAAAGTAACAGTAGCTTAAGCAATCTGAGGGCATGTTTCTTTTCATATTGTGGTGCCATGACAGGCCACTTTCAACTGATAGCACAGCTCTCAATGAGAGGCTAGAACTTGTTGCTGTGTTTTCTGAATGTACAGCAGGATTTTCTGCATTCCTTCGGCAGTATATCTACCTTAGGACAGCAGGAGAGAGGAAAGGACAAGAGGAAGACCAGGTCCAGTCTCTCTGAGGACACCTGTGGGGTTGGCACATGCCATTTTGTTCTTTCTTATTGGCCAGCAGCTAGTCATGTACCCAACCCTCAGCTGGAAAGGAAGCTGGAGTATTTGTTTTAGTACAAGCGTCTATGTTTATTCCAGTTATTATGGATGACAGGATAAATGAATAATAAAGGTCCAAATGTGAATTCACATCTCCTTTTCTATTTTCTATGCTCGGTGCTAAAAATGTACACATAGAAAAGGACTGAATTTGTGGGAGAACTAAGTTTCATTTGAAGACTATGAACCAGGCGTGGTGAAGTATACCTGTATCCCCAGCACTTGTGACGTAGAGACAGGAGGATTAGGGATTCAACATCATCCTTTCTGCACAGTGCACAGTAAACCTGAGGATATCCGGTGTGGTGTGTGACCCTGTTTCAGAAAAGCCCAGTGGGCGGAGAGGCGTCTCAGAGGTTAAGAGCGCTTGCCGCTTTCCCCCGAAAAAAGGAGTTGGGCTCCTAGTTCCTGTGTCGGTGTCGCTCACAACTGCCTGTACTTCCAGTTCCAAGGAGTCCCAACACCTGCTTCTGGCTTCTGCGGCACCCGTACATAGGTGGTGTATGCACACATGTACACAGGGAGGGGCACGTGAGCAAGTACAGGACAATCCAAGGCAGGAAATAAAGACACAAGCCCCCAAACATACCTTGGGTGTATCTATGTTGTCTTCATGTCTCATGCACGCATTTTTTGCTTATGTATTCTATGTAAGCAGATGTATCTAGTCTCCTGCGAGTTTCTATGCTGTGTTTACTGCCTGCTCACCTGGCATTCTCCCTCTGCTCAGTGCGCCCTGGCCGCAGCTCCGCTTATCCTGTAGAAGGAGCCCACCTATCCCTGACTTGAGGAAGCCTGGAATACCTTTGAGGCTTCCTTAGAAGTTTGCCTGCTGTTCCCACGTCCCCTCCTCACTGCATTCCTGTTCCCTCTGTTGTGTTGGAAGATCCTGCCTGGGTTGGTGGCACCTGCCTTATGTCAACACTTAAAGGACAATGGGCACATGGAGTCCCTGTTAAAAAGAAAAAAAAGTCATAAATAAAATACAGTTTGTTTTTCCCTATCCACGTCAGCACGTGAGCCTAGCAGCAAGAAGATAGAAGGTCCCAGCAAATGTTGGCAGACCCCAATAGAGGGCTCAGCTTCTGTCCTTGGGTTCTTGAATGGCAGTGTGGGTGGAATCTCTAATGAGCTGGAGAATCTCATATTGTGTTTAAAAATATCATACTTAATAAAAAGTTAAGTGAATCAAGAATCAAATTCTGAATCCAAGAAGAGATGACACTTTCCACCAGCATTCTCATTTTATTCTAACTTGGACTTCATTTTTATTCTTTGTTTTATGTAATGTGAGATAAAGGAGCTTTTTAAAAACACCTTGATCCCTCCCACCTTTCTGTCCATCCAACTTCATACTCTCTCTCAAAAAGAAAATGATCAAAATATATTGCATAAAATTTTAATAAAAAATCTTGAATTTTATGTTTTATTATATTGCTATACTTCTTACTAAAGTTTTATTTTTCAAAAAAATCAAACTTAAATCCTTGTGTATTAGTAATATATCTTGGTTACTCCAAAATATGTCAGTCTTCTTAAGACTTAATTTTAAGTTAATTTCAATTTAATTTAGAAATGCCTGTGACTTAATCAAAACTATATCAGTGCCTCTCAATTGAGCATCATGACTCCTTTTGAGGGGGGTGAACAACCCATTTATAGGGCCACATGTTAGATATACAGCATAACAGACACTTATGAGTCACAACAGAAGAAAAATTACCATTATGAAGTAGCAACATAAGGAATTGTATTAAAGGGCTACAGTATTAGGACAGTTGAGAATCACTGCTCTATATTGTCATATTTTTCCACTTGATCCTTCAAAAACATTGATGATTAGCGTGTGATAAACCCAGAGAATTTGGGGGACTGTGTAAAGTCCTGGCTGTTAATTATCACTACTGCTATATTACCAAACACTAACCACTTGGGGCCTCAGTTCCTCTGCCATCATATATGAAGTCTAAATTAATGCAATGGTATCTTCCAGTTCTCAGTCATCTCTAAGATGAATAACAAGAGCAATACAAGATTGTTACCCAGGCTCTAGAGAAAACATGGTCAAAACCTTGAGAATTAGTAAGCTCTCATTTTCCAAGGGCCAAAAGAACATTATGGTGGTTGTTGAGCTTAGACTATGGTGTGAAATTAATTAAAGTAACTTCTTAACTCATGTGGAATGACTTGGGGTGGGGCAAATCTGGATCAATATGTGCGGTGTGCTAAAAGGTTATATGAATCATTGCTTATTAGCATGGTTGATATCATCCAAATTAATAGCCGAGTCCCCAGTGCCTTAATGATTCATCTTTCATGGTGTGATATGTACAAGGTCTCAGACAAAGAATGTAAAGATCTTCTCTCTTTCAGAAAGCTTGGGGGAATGGTATAAATGATAGTTTACATGGAGTGTTGACTTGTAAGCTCTCAGGCTTATGGAACATTTGGCTTATTGTGTCTAAATCATAGATGATATATTACTTAACCAATTAATTAGGTCTGACTCTGATCCCATTAGAGTCACAGCCAGAGCTGTGTTTATTTAACATGCTTCGATGTAGAAAATGGGTCTTTGGCAGCAAGCAGAAGAAAAACAAAACAAAACAAAAACAACAACAACAACAACAAAAACCTGTACAGCTGCAGTGGCTGAGTGAGTCAGGTCCTGAGGCTACTCCAGCAATCTTCCTTACAATTCCTTTGAAATACATACTGCAGGACAAAGCGCCTCTCAGTGTAGAGGGTGGCTCTTCAGTCCTAAGAATCCACAGTGAATTAAAGTCTAGACTCACTCATTTGTCAGTGGAAGGGGAGGAGGGAGAGAGAGCAAATCAGATATGCTCAAAATGTTACAGAGGTACCAGTGAATCAAGGATGCTGTTACCAGTCTGTGCGTAGCGAGGAGGGCGATGTAACAGCCAAGCAGCGCAGGAGCAGCGTTGTTCTCAGAAACAGTCACATAAACAGCAGCCAGGGTAGGCCTCCTCCCTTCTGAAGCAGCATACTGCAGCCTGTGAAATGCAAGGCTCTGAGGTTGGAAAAATCTCCGGAGTTGAGCATGGCTACTGTAAAAGCCTTGCTCACAAACCCTGATGATCTGAACAGCCAAAACTCCACATTAGCAAGCGATCCTTCGAGAAGAGAAATGCTACCTTTTCTAGGTTGTTGCCAGTAGGCAGACCCCTTAAAGAAGAGCTCAAATTACCTGTAAGGAAAAAATTTTAAAAGGCAGTCAGAGAGAACAAAGTTTTGGCATGCCTGCAGAAACAGCAGTGTCTGTAAAAACTACCTAGAGGCAGCAGCTAAGTGTTGATTTGCCCATGACTCTTACCTGGGAGTGGAAGGTGGGAAGAAATGGACAGTGGCCGTGACAGCAAGACGAGGCCCGGTGCAGCTTGGTGAAGCCGCGCTCTGACCGCGTCCTGCCCCCTCTTCATGCAGTGCTGCGGGCTGGTACGTCGCCGGCGAGTACGGGTGTCCTATGTAAGTTCCCATTGTTGTGCCGTTGTGGCTAGGAGCTGAAAATGTTAACTTGTGTCTGCCTGCTCTGCGTTGCTTCTTCTGATGCTTTCATCCCTGTGCTGAACCTGACAGAAAATCAATCATTTGTGCCATGAGTTGTCAAGGCACCTGAGGGCAATGAGATTCCGAGGTCTTTCCGGAGATGCTTCTGTGTGTTTATCTTTTATACCAGGTTAATTTTGTAAGGTTGGAAATAACTTGTAGAGGGACTGGTTTGGTGGGTATGTGTGTACGTGTGTGGGGGGAATCTATTGTCTCAGATATCTGTGTCAGTTCAAACCAGTTGATATACTCTTTTGCTTGGAGTTTTCATATTTGAATCATGGCATGGGAAAGGAAATTGTTTTCTAAAAGATGAAATACTATGGAGTTTGTAAAATTACAGACAGCCACGGTGGTTAGTGTTAAATCCTATTTTGAAGAGCTTCAGAAAAATAGTAGATGATAATCGTTTGATGGATGGCACAGCTGTTGCAATAATGCAGCGTTTCCAACGGCTTTATCATCCCCTGGCTGTTTCTGTGGAACAGCCCTTATATCGTGGACCTGCTGTGTTTTTGCAAAATGGCTGTCTGAGTATTAAATTCTAAAAGGCAGACTCTCACAGATAGTGAAGTACCACTGTCTGAGAGGGTTGGATGTTAATTGAAATACACCGCACTGCTACGCGAGCGGACAGACTCCAAGGAAGTGCTGGCTTTATTTTCATGCTCCGTCTGCATGCAGTCTCTTTATTTTCATGGACCGGTGTGAAAGGGAGCAGGCGATTTATGCAGGCTGGCCAGACTGCAGTGCCGAGTGGCTTAACACTGACTTGAGATTGCTGGATGCAAAACAAATAGAATGTTGACAATGAACACTAATCAATTCTTAAGGGTGTCACGAAGGAAATATGTGACCTTGGGAGTTTGGCCAGCAGGGGATATGCATCTGAGACTTTAGGACAAACAAGGTCAAAATCTGCTATATTCTAAAGCATAAAGTTGAAGATCAGGGGTGGGAGGAGGAAGACAGGATCATTACATTCTTACAAGATTTGGAAAGATCTCCCTTTATTAAAAAAGCAGCTAAGACGTTTAGAAGCTCCCTTAATTGAAAGGGTTTTAGACTCGTTATGTACTTGGTGCCATTTGTGTTTTGAATGCAACAGCTGACGCGTCAGGAGTAAATGTAGTTGGGAGGTATCCAGTCAAGGGTTTTCTTAAAGACGACATCTGCAGAGATGGATGGATTTTTTTCCAATAGAAAAATTAATTTTTAATAAGATCTAGCAATAAGTGCCAGATTCACAAACTTTTTAGTGTGTGAAACTGTCTAAAAATGAAAATCTTAAAATAATATCAAGTTTAAAACCTCTATTTTCAAGAATTGATGAGGACTCTGACTTCTGTGGCTTTATGTTTTTCTGTTTATTTTTTATTATGAGTTAGAAAACATCTATTGCTGCATTTGCCTAAAGTACAGGGGCTTTTGAACTATAGTCTCAAGGTTGTGATTTATATTTTGCTTTCCTGTGCCACACATGTAAATACATAGAAAGAACAGACACCACAATCTGTTTTTTTCTTTGGGGGGGGGTTGAGGGGAGTCATGAGTGAGAAGTGTGATACTTGTTTTTTTATTATTATTAAACATTTTACGCCGTATTTTGAGTGAGGAGCCACAACGATATACAGCGTACATGTTCTAAAGACTTTGTAAACTCATGTACCTTGGTCTGCTGTATAAATTTTTTAAGACTATTTTGTCTTGGGGCTCTGACCTGTTACCCACATGTAGCTACTTTTGCTTTTTAACTTCTGGATTTCAGTTTCCTTTATCGATGGCCAACTCAGAGCGATAGTAGGTAAACTCTAAAGCACACACTGTGTCCTTAGAGAGAAGGAACCAGCAGTGTGTACATCTGTGAGTGAGACCTAGTGCCTACAAATCTGATGCTGGATGGACACTGAACAACTGGGTAGAAAGCATTTTGAAAGCTAGCCCAAACCCCAGGACCAATGGATGGGATGTCCTATTGCCATCTCTCAAATATATTTTCAGTTTGGGAAATGACAACTTAGATCATACCAGTACTAAATTCAAACATTTGTATATACATATAAATCAGATGTCTATTTTACATAGTTGTATATATATGCAAAACATTGTAAATTAAAAACATGTAAATAAGATGACAAATATGCTCAGTCACCCACTGCATGACTGCATTTCAGTCAGTGATGGATTGTGCATATCTTAGAGGTCTAGGCAGATTGGGGTGCCTGGTAATTTACACATCTTAGTTTGTTAATATACTCTGTGATGTGATGTTTGAATAGCTACAGGAGTGCCTGGTGATGCATCCTCACACTGGATATCCATTGACAAGTGCTGTGTGTGTGTGTGTGTGTGTGTGTGTGTGTGTGTGTGTGTGTGTCAGTCTTCAATCTTCCGGGAGTTTTTTTTTTTTTCTTTCTTTCTTTCTTCTACCTCTTTTTCTTTTAGGATGACAGATTTGTTAAGGATTCCTCCTACTCTCACACTGTCTTTTAGAGAGAATGGTGAACATTATGTGGGCAGCAAAGAAAGTTCTATGCACGTGCCGCCATCCTTCACTTCTAGCTCTTCACTTGTCTTAGCTGTTGCTTTCACTTAGCTTTCTTCCCTCTTCTGTTCAATGTTGGCTTAATAGCCAAAGCCCCAAAGCCTTTTCTGTGAGCAATGAGTCCTGCCTATCGGCTAGAAGCCCTGTTTATTCTGTAAGCCTCAGTACATAAGGCTCTCATTTTGACATTGTTATCTATTTTTGGGATTTAGTCTTCATTATTTTGTTTATACTTAACAGTCATTTTTTTTTAGACTCTGGTTATACACCTTACAGGCAATCCCTATGTTTATCTAAATTGCCTTGCTGCTGCATTAAATGGTATAAAGAGCCATTGACTGAATAACGAACATTAGTTTAAACATGGTGAGCTCTAACGTAAACCTGGAAAACACTGACAGTTGCATCCTTTGGGAGAAGGGATTGGTTTCCGTTCTGCTCAGTGTTTACTTGAGGTTCAGATGGCCTTCCATGGTCATAGGTTACACGTTTGTGGATTTCACAGCAGGATCAAAAGTCTTGGAAAGAAGTTGTATCTGTATTGAGCATGCCTAGCCCTCTTGTCATTCCTCAACAGTGCAGTGTAACAGCTACCAACATTTGTGTTGTATTACATGTTAGATCATCTAGACGTGATTTAAAGTGTGGGAAAGAACAGGCACAGGTTATATTCAAATCTCACCCCACTTTATATGAGGACAAACATCCATCAATATCGATACCTATAGTGCCTGCAGATACTAAGGAAAATTGTGTAGATTAAATGTACCTTGTCTGAAAGGCTTAGGAGTACAAGTGTTTGAGATTAAGGTTTTTTTGGTTTGGGATTATTTTCATAGATTTTTTTTCCCCTGACTGAGCATCCTTAATTGAAAATTCTGAAATGGTTCAAAATGTAGGGATGAGTAACCTGCAGGTCAAACACACAGGAGAGCTGACACTAAAATTTCAAGTGGATGGCACTCCAGTCGAGAGACCATACAGCAGAGCTGGAGAGATGGCTTGGTTAAGGACGTTTACTGCTCTTCCAGAAGACCTCAGTTTGGTTTTCAGCACCCAGGTTGGAGAGCTCACAACCGCCTGTATCTGATGCTCTTCTGGCCTCTTCAGGCATCTGCATTCACAGGTGCACATAATCACACAAAGGACGGTTTTGCTGATATTGTAGTTTGTTTGCTTGTTTTAAAGAAACCAGTTACTACCAATACCTCTAACATCTGTCTGTTCACCATTGCCCACTTCTCCTAGTAAACCCATTTACCTGAGTTCTAACACCACGGGTTCATTGTTCCTGTATCTGAATCTTATACAAATGAACTCAGATAGGATAGTTTCTCATCTCATCTACCTATCACTCATCCTTCATTGATAAGACAGCTCTTTGTGGTTATAGTTGTGGTTATAGTTCTATTCTTATTCTTATGGTTATATAGTATTCCATTGTGGACTAAACCATTAGATAGTCATTCTGCAGCTGATGGGTGCGTGGGTAGCTTCCAGTTTGAATTATTGTAAGCATTACAGTTTTAAACAATTGTGATATGTTAATGTTTAGGCACATAGTTCTGTTGGATTTTGATCTAAGAGTGAAAGTGTCAAGTCTGAGGTTACAGAATACTTGTATTCATCTTAAGTGGGTACTGGTAAACAGCTTTTTAAAATGTTCCACGAGCTCATCCTCCTCTAGTTGGCAGTACTCTGCCAGGGACTTGCTTGTTGCACCAGAGCCAGATTGTAAGCGACAGCATCCTTTGATAGCCTTCGTTTGCGTTTCTTTATTGGCTAATAAAGTCAAGTGTTTGGGCATCTGACTGTCCTTTGTGCAGTACTTGTTGCAGTCTCTTGCTTCTTTTCTTTTAGATTTTCTGTCTTTTGGGGCAATTTTGTGGATAAAAGAACTGATAAAGAAAACAGACACCGGCGATTTAGCATATAATACTACTGGAAGAAAATGGCTATAAAGAAAACTCATCAGATTGTGGAGTTAAACCTAGCATAAGTTGAGATTTTGATGATACAAGTTATCTACTATGTCATACCTGAGAATTTTCTTCTCTTTTGAGCCTGATAATTATCCACTATAATTAGGATCACAACAGAACGTTGAAGATTTGAGACTTAAAAGTTTATCAGGACCTGCATACCAACTACTGTATAGTTGCTTTTGAAAACCTGGCAGCCATGGGAGACCCGGGAGGCAGAACTATAAGAGAACAGCAAAGAAGGAGGAGAAGAAAGTAGCAGGTGATTACTCTTTACTTTGTTGCTGCCTGTATTCATTGGTT